ATCTTTGGACATTCTTAAAAAAAACATGTCTTGAGGAGCTGCAAGATCAGAGGATTGAAATGCAAATTAACTTTACCTTTATGGCAGCTGTGTCCCTCAAATCCAGAAGGGCATTTGCACACGAAGCTTTCATCTTTTAAAAACGTCGGTTGGCAAGTTGCATTAGATACGCAGGGAGAACTACTGCAAGGATTCTGAAAAACGTCGAATTGTCAAATAAGAGCTAATTAAGACAAAAACGCGGAGAAAATGAATGTATAATGTTAGTTAGTAAAAGGGAGTTAGTGTAGCCGAGCGGTTAGGACGTCACTCTTGAAATCCAGACTTAAGTCCCGGATGTTTAAGAAAGAGAAAACATGTATCGTGTTTCTATCTCGATTCTATCGAGTTTTAGTATAAATCTGCTAACGTTCTAGCGTTCAACCATCACGCGATAGAAATCTGGAACTCATAATATAATTATCTAATCAAAACATTAAATCAATCAGCGCGCATATTTTCTTTGGGTTATTTTCTAGATGATTTACTGTTCTCGGTATTGGGTTAAAATTCTTGGCACACTTTGTAAGTGGCCGGCGGTTTAATCTCGAGCCGGTTCCCAGTTGGGAATTTTTAATCATGTGATCAAGAAATGTGACATCATCTGAAAGCTAAGTTTGACAGCAGAATGGAAGAAAATAACAAGAAAAATAATTAGAGAAAATTGAATACCATCCAGTTACCGTAATTAAGAATAGTTTTTTCTTCTTTTTAATAGATACTCTGTGTGATCCTTTGTTCCGTTTCTCGACAATCACGAGCGATAAATAACATAGCTAGCCTTGTAAAGGATTATGAGGCAATTTATTCCAAAGCAAAATGTTAAAAAAGCGTACCATGACACTTAACAGTGTCATGGCATTTAGCACTATAAACCACAACATTTTAACTGTTTTTAACATTTTGCTGTGATAATTGGGGATACTATAAAGAAAAAAAACAAACATTGTAAATAGAACTGAAAAGTTGCTTAAAATCCCAACTGGTTGGAGGCCAACCAGCTGTCTATTTACAAGACGTGGAGTTGAATTCGGGACCGCCCAACACAAATCCATCTGGTCGTAGGGAGGATGATTCGAACCTGGGACCTCCGGATTACAAAACCAGCGCGCTACCCAAAAAGCCACGTCGCTTCAACCGGGCGCGTCCAGGAGATTACGCACGTTACCTGGGTTGCACGATAGATCTTTCCTAGTGAGGTAACCAGACTCTCTGGGTGTTGTTTGTCGTCGGTGTCGCTGAGTTCACATTCCCAGCGGCCAAGGTGATTGACACGTTTCCTCCAAGTAACAGTTGATGCGACACAACTCTTCTTTTTCCAGCTGAAGAGCTTTGAAAACGTGACCCTGTAATGCTTTGTCATAGATCGGTGCTGCATAACTCTTCACGCGGCAACAGTCTTAAGATAAAAAAAAGCACATTGTCAGAAACCGCTTTTTTTTAGTGGCGAACTCCGTTCGCCGATTGGCTACGCTACTCACTACCTATTCTGTTGTAGATAGTGAGTAGCGTAACAGAATTACGGTCGTCTCGCCCCAACTCAAAGTCGATTCGTCCCGACCAAAAGTCGATACTTCGGGAAGAAGTATCGGCCGAAATTTTTTCATACGATTTAGAAAGCAATAAATAGTTAACTTGAACAAAACAAACACTGTTGAGACCCTTTCTCATCTTACCGGCGGGATGATCATTGAATACTATGCACGTTAATTACCCGTAAACATCTAGCGCCGCTTATAGTAAACCGAGTAAGCCGAGCAACCTGAGCAAGCTGAGCAAGCCGGACAATTTTTTACTTGTGGTCGCCTGTGGCACAACTATTTTCTTGATATGCTACGTAAAGTAAGTAACGTGGCGATGTAATGTCAGGAGCCCATCACTTGGAAGATGCAACTACCCCATATTCCTGTCACCGCGAATTCAGATCCCCGCGGGAACCTCAGTGACTAATCATAAGCACGGACTTAATTTTTAACTGACGTCATCATTTCACCAAGAGATTAAGAAAAGAAAATCTATCGATACGCACTCACGCACGTAGACCGGATCTGACCTATTTCGCGGGAAAAGAAGCCTAAAAATAGACCAGTCTGTTAAAATGCCGTGACATAGGCTTAGTATGGGAGTTGCACGCTCCAAGTGATGGGCTGCTGACCTTACGTACATCGCCGCGTTACTTACTTACTTTACGTACCATAGTTGTGCCACAGGCACAAATTTGAGTCATGTAAGTGCCGCATATGTTTAAATGAAGAGCCTAAAGTGTGCATTCATGTGGGAAAAAAGGAAAAAAAATTACGAATCAGTGGGTCTTACAAACGTCATCCAGTGTTTATGTACTCTTTAACAGGGGGAATTTTTACCAGAGATTTTCATAAGGTTTGTGGTATGGAAACTCTTCAAATATTTCTGAAGACTCCATAGCGGTAAGTTAAAAGTGAAAATTAATTAAATTAGACTTTGAGGTGACACAGTGGTTCGTTTGTTTCAAACAAGATTCCTTGCGCGAAAAAACAGGCGAACTATTACGTCTCTCATAAAGTGACATCCATTTTTTTTTCTTTGCAGTGACATTTTGGCCCCAAAACGTCTGTAGGGCGTCAGGAAAAGCTATGTTACAAGAAAACTTCTCAAACACAGTTTGTGGTGCCTCAGTGGAAACTGAGAATCAATTTAATCAGTCTTTCAGGCTTCGGATTGTTTCAAGTCTCAAATCAAGTTTCCCTCTTTCATTTGGATTCTTTACATAACCTTCACCCAAATTCCACATTTGTAGGTATTTTACTTATTCACAAATTGGTGGAACAAATAGGAAATCATCTGAAATACCAACCAACGATCCTCTGAAAAAAAAAACAGAAACCAAGTAATAAACGCCGTTGATGCAATTGAAAAGACGTTGGGTGTATTTAACGTGGGAAATATCTGACCGTGCAGATTTCCTTTTACTTATCGATATCGGCTTAGTAATGGCCAACAGTGTTAAGACTAACATGAAAAATAAGAAATGCTTTCTTCTGCTTACTTTCGTGATTTTCAGTGTTTTTCTGTATTTCAGAATGGGGATAACAAATGTGAAATTATCTGGAATATTTACCTACCAACGCTCCTGTGAAAAACAAGAAACCAAGTAATAAACGTCGTTGATGCGATTGAAAAGACGCTGGGCATACTTAACGTAGAAAAATCTGACCGTGCAGATATCTCCAAAGTATAGCTTTGTTATGGTCAACAGTTCTCGAGGCTAGCATGAAAAATGACAGATGGCGTCTTCTGCCGAGTTATGTAATAACTATCCCTACAGGGGGTATTGAGTGATTGTCAGGGGGCAACGCAGTGGTTGGATTTACTAAGTTGATTTTATCCAGGACGTTTTCAAGTTGTTCTGTTGATTAGAGAGCCACGTAAATTGCATGAAATAGTTTTTAAAAATTGTTTCACGCATTAAACCGCTACGTTAATCCAGATTTTTTTAGTCTGAGTCAGTGGGAAATTACAAATGTTCAGTATACTAACGCAAGTTATTACGACACATTCACTAGCAGTTGCTGTGACAAGAAGTTTAACGGCAGGTGCACATTGACTGAAAATGAATTCTAATTGTAGTTTCTTGCATTGTAAAGGACTGGGAGAAAAAACTAATTAATTCAACTTAAAACTCCTGACAAAATTAAACAAACTAAATAGGGGGAACTAAATAAACCAGACCTTCTTCCCTTAAACTGCAAAACTATTTTAATTGTCTCAACACTGGTTTAGTAATGTTCACACGTTCAACCGTCTCCAGAATTTATCTTCAGCACTGGTAATAAATGAAAAGATTTAAGGACGAGTTTAAACTGAAAATAATTGATGCGGTGTGCAAATTAACTAACGAACAATTTTGCTCAGAGTACTGCCATTATTATATTCATCGTGAATTAAGCAACCGTGAGGTCGAAAATAAACAAACAAAAGAAAAATAAAACACACACACACACACACACAAAACGAAACTGCGTAAATTTGGGTGACAAAACTTCGTTATTATTTCGTCTTAGATATTATCTGAGTATTCATTTGAATCTGAATCTTTGGCTGATTTCGTGTTAATATGATATGAATATTTTACTTTTGTCAAGATATGTCAACGGAAAGGTAGC